AGGTCGAAGAGGTCGAAGAGGTCGAAGTGGTCGAAGTGGTCGAAGTGGTCGGAGTGGTCGGAGTGGTCGGAGTGGTCGGAGTGGTCGGAGTGGTCGGAGAGGTCGGAGAGGTCGAAGTGGTCGAAGTGGTAGGAGTGATTGGAGGGGTCGCAGTGTGCGAGCGAAAGCGATGAAGCGTTTTCCGCAGCGGCGCGGCGGTTGCGCGCGCGCCGCGTGCGTCGGGCGGCGGGTCACTCGCGCGGAAGAGCGGCGCGCCGCGGCAGCTCGCCGCTTCCAACCACTCCGGGCCCCGAGCCCGCGTCTGGCTTTGGCTGCGCGATCGACCGACAGCACGCCCACGTGCCCTCGCCGGCCGCCGCTCGCTCCTCGCACAGAGTGGCCGAGGCGGCGCCGCGACAGGCGGCGCGCCTTTGGCGCGTGTGGGCGTCCCGGCGCGCCCGCCCGCCAGCCCGCCCGCAAGTCCTCGCCCTTTAATGTCATTCCCTCACGCACAACCGTGCGCTCCTACGCACTTCCACTCGCGTGCCGAACTACACTCAGCACGCGTTTCTCGACTCCGTACGTGTTCTGTCTTGCGGCTACGGCCTTGTCGACGGATTCCCTTAAAGCGCTCGTTGTCGGTTCCCTTTGTCGTATTTCGAAAACTCGATTCATACCACAAAACAAATTTGCCGTTTTCCGACATCGTGAGTGGCCTCTCTCTAAACACCTATTTCTCTCCCACCATATTTCGTCTGTTCCCTGTTCACCCTGTTCAGATTCCTCGTTTCTCCCTGTTTGAGATGTTTTCTCTTCCTTCTCTCATTTTTCTGAATTAAAAGCAATGATGTACTAGAAGCATTGTAATTAATGAGTAATTACGAGTAATGAGTAATTATGAGTAATAATGAGTAATTACGAGAAGAAGAAAATTCAGTACAGTTTAAAATTTCAGTTGAATGTGTACGATGAAAGTTAAAAAGTATGCGTAATCATATTATCAGCTACATTTTATAAAATTAATACTTTTGAAATTTTAAAGGAATAGATATTTCAAAATAGTATCCAATATCTGCTTAGATTTTAAAGCTTAGTTTTTAAACCATTCTAAAGACTCTGTAATATTAAATAACATCAATTTACACAATTAAACTGTTCGTCGTTATCACGTCGCTTTATAAATTTCATCAAAAGTTTTTATTAACTTTGTATGGAAACTTTTCTTAATGGACTGACGTTGTAATAGAACCCTTTTCTCTTCTGTAATTCTTTTCTCTTGTGATTTTAAATTCTCTTTTGAGTTTCCATTATTAACCTTTCTAGTTCCCCATAAAAGGCTGTTTGTCAATTTATCTTTACATTTTCTAACATTAATTTCGTGATTTTCTATTTTTATTGTTCTAGGCCATTAATAAAGCCTGAAAGGTTAGGCATTTAATTGCAATAATACTCAGAGAAAGAAGGCCATTAGTATGAACATAAATGAAATGGATTTTCTTGCGGATAAAGCAAATCTGTCAGGATCATCGAAATAATACATGCCATGTCTAACACTTCCTTTCCCTGAAATTGTAGTTCAATTGTTAATACATATTATCGTCTCTCCGCTTGCAGAGAAAGAAAACCCCTACAGTGCCTTCCTTTTTTTCAGGCTTGCAGATGCATTTCAAGCTTGGTGTGATCGTTGAAAGGAGAAAACGTAAAAGAATGACAGAAAAGGAAGAGAATGCATAATTAAAACAAAATGAAACGTAGGTATATGCTGCTAAAATAGTAAAAAAAACCAACAAACAATAGAAGTGCAAAAATGTTGCACACTAAGCATGTAATTCATATTGTTGAAAGTCTTCAAATAAAGACAATAAAAATGCATTTTGCCAAATGTTAATAATTCGACTTTATTCTCTTCTCTTCATATCACATTTTTTAGCACTTCCTTGCCGATTTCTCTTCTCGCTTCTTCTTGGCTTTCGTGGCTGCCCGCCTGGCAGTGCACTTTGGCGGCT